GACAAATGCCTATTATTGTAAAAATATGTTTATGCTAAAAAGAAAAAAAACAACCATATATTTGAAAAAAAAGTTTTTTCATCATGAAACTCAATTATATATAGTTTACAAACCTAAGTAAAATTTTTTGAAAAGTAGTTAAAACAATTTTTCATCTTATCCTTCACAAATGGTTATTAATGGAATTCTCCTTGATAGCATTCAAATGCGATTTTGAACGTGAATGTGGATTTACTCAACGAAAAGACGATAAATTTGATTGGACAAGACGACAGTATGGTACACCATCAATACAAACTGGACCAAGTGGAGACCACTCTACAGGAAAAGGTAAATTGTCCTTAGAGACGGACAGACAGGGCAATTTATACAAAGGTCTCGCCCAAACAATGGGTCATGAACGTAGGCGATATAGGGCGACTTAAGGCAGTATAAGGCGATCTAAATAAAGAAAATATGAAAAAAGCAAAGGCGATTTAAGGCGATCTAAATAAAGAAAATATTATAGAGTCTAAGGCGATTTAAGGCGATTTAACGCGGGGTAAGCACCCAGAGTATGCCTAGTTTCATTTCAAATTTATAAAAAAGAAACGGTGACAAATGCAGTGTTCAGTAACTTTCTCTTTAGCTTTAAACTATTTGTAGTTAATGCTAGTTCTGGACATTATTGAACAGGTTTTTTCCTCTGTCAGTCTATCTTTCTGTCGACCTTCCGGGATGTCTTTCATTCACTGAGCCCCATATGTACGCTGACGAAACTATCATGAGCACTACCTCTATTTCAGCAATTGAAATGCAGGTCAAGTTGAATGAAGATTTAATCAATGTAAATCCCTGGTTGTTGGCAAACAGACTAAATGCTACCAAAACTGAGCATATGTTTATTGGCTCAGATTTCAGGCTTTCCAATTTGGGGAAGATTATCCAAGGGTTGCAATTCAAGGGTTGCATCAACTAAATATTCTGGGTAGGACCTTAAATGGGATGACTGTTATCGAAAATCTGTGTTCCAAAGTAAGCCGCTCCATAAATGGTTTAAAACAGGCTCGTGAGTTTGTGCCCTTCACGTATAGTTTCTTAAAATGTTTTGGAAGATTCCTTAGTTCGCCTACGGTTGCCTTATAATGCCATTCGCAGCGACGGGGCAAAGAGCCTGAGAAGACCTCAAAACTCTTCTTCATCAGAAATCTCTTGCAAAACTTTTTTATTGTCATTTGTTTTGAATGAAAGTTTACTATGAACTCTAACATCATTGAAGAAACGTGATTGAAAATACCTATTTGCATGTTTGAGTTCTGATGATTTTGATGGAGACGTTTGGGAAGGCGAGAGTACCTTCCTTCTTCAGTCCAGTGTAGACTCGCAATAAGGTGTTGCGTGATCTTTTTGGTCACGCATACGAATATACTTGTTTGACGTATTCATGAAGCACATGGATTGCGTTATTGATCAGATTCTCATGCATTACTGACAGATCTACTGTTCTGAAGTACTTCCATTTTCATCATGTCTGGGCTCTTATTGTTAATACCACAAGACTGGTAATGAGGTATTGCGTGATCATTGTCAATGCAATTCTATTTACTAGGTTTTTACATGTACATCGAGACTTCTTCCCCCCAAGTGAAAGGTGATAATGCTATCATCGAGAAGACGGTCACCATCGGCAGAAACCAGTGTTTGACATTCTATTACCACATGTATGGTAACCACATTGGTACTCTTAACGTCTTTGTCGGAACTTCTAAAGTGTTCACTCAAAGCGGACCCCAAGGAAACATGTGGATCAAAGGCAGTGTTCGATTGTCACAAACAGGAACACAAACAGTTAGTACTAGCTGATTTTTACTTTTTTTAATTTAAAGGGCTCTTCTCATCTTTCAGATTATTGGGCATCAGAAAAAATCTGTTAACATTTGGTCAGCTACGATATCAAGCTCACGCCCCCTCATGTGAGCCCATACGAATTATGTCTCAAAAACACGGTTTTTGGATCTTTTCTCAAAATAATGACTATCTTGGCAAACAACAGAAGTGGATTCAGTTAGTTCAACTATCCACGGAATGTATTATATGGTTTAGATTGAATTCTATTGAAAAAAGCTCATACTATCTGTTGGCCTATACATTCGCCTCTTATGATTTCTTAGGTTTCGTAGCCTCGAAAACACGCTAACTACTAGTTCGCGAAGAACAGAAAAATTACAGGGTCATTTAGGATGTTTTGTCACGCAGTTTACTTGTGCTATATAACTTTACTTTTAAGAACAACCTTTTGCTTTGGAAAGAAAGGAAAAAGACCGAAAAGAGCAAATATTCCAAATGTATGGGCAATTTTTTCCAATGTTCAGAGGGTTTAAAGAATCCCGGTCAACCACAATGCATTGCGTGCCTATAGTATTGTCTACATCGTTCGCCTACGTCGTGCTCGAGCTCTTCCAACCTCTCTCGTGGTGGAGCAAAAGTTCTACTAATTTGATATCCGAAGGCCTAAAAGTTTTCCTTCCTTTTATTCCACGGCAAGTAGGTTGAATTTTTCAGGGATATTCTCTTTGTGACATTATGAGTTTTTGGTCGCCTACCTGATAGCCATCGCAACTTTCAAAATCTACCTTAGATTTGTTGCCAAAATTTTTAATATATCACGGAAAGCATAAAGTGGCTATGTATCATTATATAATGATGGTCGTAAAACATTTAACAAGAATAACAAGACCGATGGAACTGGATTCCCAAACGTTACCTACAAAACCGCCATTTTGCAAGACAGAGAAAATGGCGCGTTGCATAGTATTTCATTTTTTCCCGGCCCGTAGTCCATTGTGATTGACTAGGATTCTTTAGGCCATAGCAAATAATATTGTTTCAAAAAAATCAGTAATAATATTTTTATCCGAGAAAAAAACATAAAAATCCACATAAAATGAAGGATTAGCCCTTGTATGTCATGTCAGTAA